ATATATATATATATATATATACACTAGTGTACGTTGTGACGTATGCATAAGGGGAGCCTCGTAAAGGAGAACGTTGTTTGTTATCGCAATACAAAGCGACTTACGCCTCGCATTTTGGATCACCTGGCGGATACGAATATTTAATACATTCCCTGGTCCTCTTATCGTCTCCTTTAAACAACCTGACTTCCGGCATCATGAAACAATCAAGCGCACAGAGCAGATAGTAAATACGTAGAAGGAGAACGGGGAGGAAGCAGTGAAATTTTGGGCAAATTAATCAGGTCCATAAAAAAAAATGTCACACAAGCTACCTCCAACGTCACAGTCTATTTTCGTTGATTGCAAACGGATTTCTCGCTTATTATGCCACATAATCTCGGTCTTTGGTTTGGCTTGTCTTCTTACCGTGATTCATTCGCGAAAGCCTTTCGGATTCTTTTTTTGTCAGCGATTCAAGCGAACCGACGATGCAATCATCGAGTAATACCGGGAGCTACGAAAGGACGATTACGTTACTTCTGTTTACTTCGAATCTTTTCACTCGTCCACCCACGTACCTATTATTCTCCTATGCCCGGCCCCCGCATTTCCTCAAAATAATTTCTTCTTGAATTATTCCTCCTCTCAGGAATAGTCACCTGCTCCGTCCCGCTACGTATTCTACGTGATGTAAAGTAATCAAGATAACGTTATTACGTATATCTGTTTAATCGAGGAAAAAAAAACTTAAGATGCATCCAGATTAGAGAAAAGAGCATCGTAGCATTTGATTTTTTCAAATTTAATTTTTATACGAAAAAAATATAATTATTGATATATGTGTAGAAAAGTTATTTTTTATAAAAAAAAAAAAAATTTTTCATGTCTGGACTTTTTGAGCTTTAGGCGCACGAGGGAGATGGCGCCTCGGTCGATCTTGTTAAGTGCAATTGGCGAGGAGCGAACTAGGGGACGCACGTGGGTAAGGGGAGCGGGAGAGGGGAGTCCATGCAAGACGTTTGCGTAGAACAGATCGAGTTGGCGAATTCAATTATCGTCAATTAATATTCATGTGTTCTTTCGTATTGCGTTATCGTGTATTTTCGTTGTTATCGTAAAAGTAAAATGACATGTATTAGTTATATTCGTTAGTTATCTTAATTACTGAGCAAAGTATCGTTTGTAATGTAATTCGAGCCTGTTGGAATTCTTCAATAATTTATATTTCACTTACGCGACAGTTGCATGGTATCGTGACACGAGTATTCTTGGACTTCCTTGCGATCAGGTATTTCGCAATTTCGTTTGGTCATTCCGGATGGATTAATGGCTAGAAATGTTTACGTGTCTCATGCTTCAAGTTATTCCACATATTCAAAGCTTAGGCATTTAACGTTGCCTCGTGTCTCTGTGTACGAAGGCTTTTCACGTGCGCGCAGCTACGCTCGCGCAACTCAACTGTAAAAAGCGGACGGTACGCCGGGTTCGGAGCACCGTTCTCTTCTCAGTTTGGATTTGGTTCCCGTTCCGTTCGCTTGCTCGTTCTACCATTCTTCTTCGCCCCGTAGTATTTCGTTCTTATCTAATTGCCAATAGCCACGCGCGTTCGGTTATTGGAGAGAGACACCGCGTTACGAATATCAGTGATCAACAGTGTGATAGTGTTTTTTGATTTTGATTTTATTGAAAAATCAAATTTTTTTTTTCTCGATCTTTTATTTCTGGTGATCAGCACGCAGATTCTTCTTCTGGTACTGGAAGATGGAGAGAATAATGCGAATTTCAACTTTACTTCTCATCTTATTCGTCGTTCAGGGTGAGTCAATTTTTTTTGGTTTTTTATTAATTACCAATTTTTCGATTATTCGTCCAGCTTTGAATTGTCCCTAACAGAATTCTTGTATTCCTTTATTTTGCTTATCGTACAGATCGATTTATTAAAATGTATGTTTATTTATCCCGCTTTATAAGAATCGCTTATGACCGTCTAACGATCGATCTGAGATAACCACGTGTCTCCATCGAGATCATTGGGTCTGTCTAAGTCGAATGATTCTTCAGCTCCTTTTTTTAAGTAATTGATCAGTGCGCCTAGAAGTCTTTACTGTCTGGTTTGCAAAATGTGTCAAGTGGACGATGCCAGCTGAATTAACACAGATGGCAAAAATTAATTGGCATATTGCGAACATAAGCGGAAAAGTCATACAAAAGAAAAATTGTACAAAAAAAAAAATTGGCGTTAATTCAAATTAAATACTCGCCTCAGCCATTCTGACAATTGCAAAAAAAAATGAACAGTTCCAAAAGTAAACAACGGCGCTCGGTAATTATCGGTAGCACTTTAGCAATGCTGGCCGTATACTTTGCAAATGGCCGAGCCATAATCCTCCGCAGCCCAAACAAATAATCCTCTCTTGGATTTCTCTTCCGACAAAGAAACGGTGGCACGGTGCTTTGCTTCGAAGATAAAGAAAAGTAATGGTCAGTGAGATGACCGTGTCCGAGGGCGGGATAAAAAAATTTTTTTTTTGAGAATTAGGAAAGCATAGTCACAATACCCGTATATAGACGGCATAGTCGGACAGGCCAGGTGAAAACGAAACAGGCCAGGTAGAACGAAACGGCGCAGATGGCATGCTCACTTTTCGTAGAATCGTACAAGGCTGTTTTTGGGCCCGACGTAGTACCGTAGGGCCCCATTTACTCTCATTGACTGGGTCCGTCTGTATTACCTTATTACCCATCTAGGATAGGCAGCCTATGTACAGCCTACGTACGCGGGGTATAAGGTGTACTGAAATATGGGACTATTCCCTATAGCGTAGCAGGTCTCTTCTTTACCCTCCGGGTAATAGCAGACAAGACACAATAAGAGGGACCACCGAGGTCGTGAAGCGGTAAATAAAATTTTTTTTCCTCCCTCGAAGCACTTCCAGATCGGATTAAGCAAGAAGATGGAGTAAGGATGCTGCACGTTGATCTTGAGCTTCGAGAATGACAGCTGCTGGGGATGCTTACCGACGGGGTGGGTTTTAGGGGGCGAGTCAGCTGGACTATAGGACGTTCGTTGGGCTCGCGTAGAATACACGTGGGATTCCGCCTGTAAATACGTATCGGTAGTTACGTCACGTATATCTAGTTTACCCGAGTAATTAAGTAATTGAGTTTTATTAGTGCGTCGGTTCGCTGGCAGAGGGGAGGAATTCGAGGGATGGCTGCGGCTAGAGAAGAAATTTTTTTTTTTCTTCCTACCCGCATGAGAACTCCTTTTCGATTCTTAGGATCGACCGACATCTCTGAGGTCCGCTCTTCTTTCGGACCTTGTTCTAACCTAATTGCATACCTGCATGGGATGGCAATGATTTTTGAAAAAAAAAATATGCTGCTTTTGGACCCTGTATGAAACGTTGCATCGTTTACGTGAAATTGACGAAAATAAGGTATTATCTTTTTGGAGAAATTTTTTTTTTCAATTCTTCATTCTTAACGATATTAATGCAGTTTTGGTATAAAACAAAATTTTCTTTTTTTTTCACTTTTTTTATCACAATTTTTGTTTTATTCCCTGTTTATTTGCACTAATTACTTATTTACGAAACAGACTCGAAATATCGTATCTCCTCTAGTTGGAGCGCGTAACTGGAACGCTTTATCTTTCTACTATTATGGACATTTTGAGTTCTCGTAAAATTAGCACGTGACTAATTGTTGTTGCTAGAAATACCAGCGAAACCTTTGACACGAAATGCATGCCGGATCACGATAATGATAGCCTTTCCGCTCTCCGACTAGACCACTTACGAAATCTCGTTGTGCAATACGAAATTCTTAAGAACCGACACCCTTCTTCTTTTTTTATATTCCTACTTTCTTTTTCTCTAGTTCGGATACTCCTCATGACTTTCCGTAAAGTGCAAACAAAAGGAAGCAGTCATTCCTTTCCACTGCTATTTCCACGTTCCACGATCCTACAGGCTCCCCGAATTCTCTATCGGATCCGTGACTCTGCGCATGCGTCTCGTTATTCGGAGCAAATGCGTTTCCCGCGTTTAACTTGAATTCGGCTCGAGTCACACGACACTCGGCTTAATCTCGACAGACTGCTTGGCGCTTTTTCTTTCGCGAGTAGGACGTCTGCCTAACAGCCCGACTGGCCCACTGACCGACTGTGACACCGTCATACGCCTGAATTCCAAAGCTGCAATCCTCAACGTTCTCTCAACGTTGTCGAAAATGTGTACCAATGAGAAAAAAATTTTTTTAGAAAAAAAAAAAAAAATTTTTATATCACAAATTTCAATCATTCGATGACTAATAGAACGAAGCTTTTCTCTACTGCATTCGCTAGTACCCGCATTTCATTGGTTACTCCAATCCGCATACTCTGTACGCTCGATATGGACAGCTGATTCCTGGTTGTCGCTTTCGTCGAATATCAACTGTACATACGTTCAATACAGGATCCACCAGCATACAGCGTTATTTATCTAGGAAGGCGTATTCTATGTTATTTTTAGCCCGCTCGTGAAAACGTAACGCTCGATGATGCTGACTATTAAACCTTTTAGCCGACAGTCTCTGTATATACGGAAGAGCATAATATCTTATAAATAGGGATTAGCCAATCGGTCCGAAACACAGAGCTAGAGACCTCCGCCCTTGCCGACCTATTTCGAGCGTAGCGTCCCGAGAGGCGTAATTGAAAAATTCCATTTTCAATTCACACGCGCGAACCAGTCGTTCGATTAAATTCTTTGCCGTTGCTATCGCATTGCCAAATTCCTTGGCGCGGGTCTCTTGCGAATTAAGGCCAATCATTTCGCGAAAGACGTAACATGCAAGTATCTAGTGTATGCTGTATAAACGTCGAGCGTGAACACGTCACGTCGTTCAATCTCGACTCGGTAAGAAACTCGTACGGGCTTTATCGATTCAGAAATGATTTTCATTGATAAGGCATATATACTCATTTTAATTACTACCGCCTACCAGGAATTACAGTTCCCCCTTACTCATTAATGAATGTCATAAATTCATTGAGTAGCCATAACACTCCTTTTACATTGGTTCGACTGGAATATTACATTTTTTTTTTTTTCATTAGAAAAATTATTTTGCGTAGTATCGTCACCATTCAGTACTTGGTCGACGGACGAAACGGCATTTTAGATAGGAGAAAATGAAAAATTAGTGCAATCCAAAGTGAACGGGATATAGGGGCGAATGGAGAAATTGAAGTAGAAAATTCAGTGGGTTATCTCGAAACTGGAGCAGTCATATTTTTTTTTTGGGTCAATCGTAAAAATATTTTTCCTAATATGGTCATTACGCGAGCGTCGTTCTCGGTGGACGCGAAAAAAAAAAATTTAGAGCAGTCGAAAATTTCTTACGGGTTACAGAGAAATGTGACTAAGAAATTCAGTGGGTTATCTCGAAGCTTTGAAAAGTCCGGTGGGAGCCGTATTAGGGCATTACTGGAATTCGGGATAATTAGGGTCGCGGAGGTCAAGTATGCTGAAAAGTCCCGAGTCCCTTTCATCTTGCCGTTTCTCTTTATTCCGGCGGATTAAACGTCTAGGAATAGGTCCCAGGCGGACCTGAAAGTAGAAGCTGGAGAACATTTAAAATTCCCGTGGCGTGTTGGTACGATGAAAAAAAAAAAGAAAGAGTATAAGTAAGAAGACCGCGCCTGTACGTTTAGGAATTCGAAAAGAGCGTCACAGCATTCAATCATCCTCGGTAAAGTCACGAAGCTATCTCGACGTATATATATATATATATATATATATATATATATAGCAATAGTACGGCAACTCGGTATAGAATCCAAACCCACCAGAAAAGGTTCTGTGCCGTCAAGTTGACACCCCTTGAAATATCGAGACAGATGGCTGGACTGGGCTGACGTCATTCCTTCCCGATGCTTTATTATTTTCGCTCCACGATTATTCCCACCGCCGGAGCCGAGCAATTTACTCGCGTTACCGGGCACGTTCCGGCCACGGCCTTCGTCTCCACCCCCATTTCGATCCCTTGTAGTTATACCAATCAGCACTGCTTCACCGTACGCCGAGGACGTATGAAAAATCTCGGGTCGTACGATCGAATTAGAACAGCCGGCAATGAAAGGGTCCGCGAGGACCTCAAAGGGTAGAAAGAAAAGTAGAGCGTCCGGATTGAAGTGGGAAAAGTGATGGAAAGACGGGAGTAAATAAGCTCGCTGTTCTATTCCTCGATCCTCTACGCTTTTCAACCAGTCAAAATGGCGGCTTCCCAATCGCGGGGTCTGTTCGCTCCAATTAGTGGACCCGATGACGTCAGAGACGAAGCTGGGATCGCATTGCGAAGTAACGGATAGCGAGTGACGGACTGGGAAGTGAATGGACGGGACTTTAGCCGCGGGGGAGTCAGAATCGGTGCGCTAGACCAGAGGCCGACAGACGGCAAAGGAAAGGGACAGAGTCGCGAAAGCGCTAACCCCGAAGCGGTAAGGCACAATTTTTTTAACGTTTAGTTAAAATGTAGCCGGTGTCGCCGATGACGTCACCTAGCCGTTCTAGGATTAAGGATGACCAGCCGCGACGTCAATGACGTCATCGTTTTATGGGCGTAAACGCAGCGCTTGCCTAAAGCGTTTGGTATTGTAATTTTATATGATGCACTGTACCGTGTGGTCATGTCTATAGGCATACCTGTTACATGTACTGTTTACTTCCGAATTCACTGACGCAACGTTCAACGCCTTTTGGCTGTTTCTATTTGATACGCTGACCCGTACTGGGTGCCAGGTAGGAACGCGATATAGATCTTACATCG